TACAACAGGATGTTCTTTATGAAAATGATCACAATAGAATACCTAGAACACATGTACTGTACATACTAAGACATTTATCACATGTGTATATTCATGTAACCTCAATGAGGTTACTGACCTTATTGAGTGGATCAGGTGTCAGCTATCAAATACAATGTTTTTAGTGCCACAGCAAACTCTGGCCTCATGTTACTCCACGTAAAAACAATCCCTCACAGGGAGATATACAGATTTTAAATTTGGGAATAAGAGAACGCTGAAATCAGATCAGTACTCAGCATTAGCAGATATCCTGAGCTGTGGTATCAAAATTGGTTTTGAGAGAGAAGGAGTTCAATCAGTGTATTCCTAATTATTAGCCCTCACAAACATAGTAACCCGGATTTTTTCTGGTTTTCATATATTTACTCTCAAGGTGACCACTTAAACATTAAACAACCATTTTTATACCATATTACTATTTTATAGGAACATTTCTGAAAACTCATGTACAGCTTCCTTTAAAATAAAATCCAATAGTGTATTTATTGGTTGATTGGGATTTTTCCAGGTTGTTTAGAAGCCTTTAGAATTTGTTGCTGCTGCACACAAGTAACTTCTATGTCTTTTGAGTTGTCAGCCCAGTCTCCAATGAATTACATTCATTTTGATGATTCCACATTTGTTTGTGTCCAATACCAATGCAGCAAGTAACTGTGAACACAACCTAAAGTTTAACGGCACCTACTGTTTGTCACACTTAGCCTTCTAATTATAGAAAGGTGACTTTAGAAAGGGCATTAATGGTGCGTAGGGGCTGCAAGTGCAGGCCAATGTGCTACAGTCCTTCACAGAAGAGGTGACTATTAGACAATTAGGGGGGTTACTTGAGCTTTTCAAGAACACTAATGACTCATTAATATCACTATACCCCCTCTTGCCATTAGAGTTTTAATTCCGAGAGTGCAAAACCTCCTAATAGTTGCAGATGAGATTAATTAGGCTTAAGTCTTAACAGTAAAAGGTTTGTTTGTTACTGGCGGGCAGTCATTAACCAGCATCCTTTGGTAATGACATCACAAATAGGGCTCATTAGCAGGGCTCCCAGGAGTCAGAGAAGATCCTTTTGTCTGGGGTCATCATGTCCTGTTTGATGATAAAAGTGCTCTCAGGGAATACTATTCATTGTCAATGTCGTTACATTTTATTGTTTAGTCACTTCATACATCCAAAGTTTATATAAAGTGTGAAAGTTGTTTGAAGATTTTGTGTGAGAATAGCCTTGTGTAACTGTGAGTAGCAACAACTGTGCTCTCTATTTCTAACAGAGTCAATAATTTGCTTTTGTTTTTTAAGAAGGTGTTTTAGCATAAATCATTTGTTGTGCAATTGATTGTGTGTCAGGATTTAATAATCAAGCAAAATCAAATGATGTGTTACTGTAAAGCCTAATGAAACTTAACTTGTTATTTCCGAAGAGGAACTCTTGGGGGAAACGTTGGCAGTGCACATTAATTCCCCTCCAAATGTGAGAGTACAAGACCTGCTAATAGATGCAAGTGAGATTAATTAGGCAATGGTTTAAACAGTAAAAGGTTTGTTTGTTATGAAAAGGGTCATTAAGCAGCATCCTGGGATGATGAAATCTCAAACTGGGTTCATTAGAAAGACTCTACGGTGTCAGATGCAGCAGAAAGTCCTTTCGTCTGGGGTGATTATGTCTCGTTTGATGATAAACACACCCTCAGAGAGAAGGATGAGATATTATTTTGTTTTTCACTCGCTTAAAGTCATATAAAGTTTTGTTATAGTTTGACGCTCCACAGATTACACTGTGGTCCTGAGTTCTTAAACAGAAATTGTGGGCAACAATGTTTTAAATTTAATGACTAGCAGGTATGTAGAAGTGCGTATGAGAGATGAAGCTGGAGTCCAGGTTCAAAATGCAGAGTAGTTTTATTTTATTTTTCATTCCTGTGTCCATATCCGTATCTGATTGCACTGCGCTTCAACATCAGCCATCTCAGATATCCTATGATATATCTTATCAGCAGTTCGATCCTCCAGTGCAGAGGTTGCTCTAGTGAGGCAGGTTCAGCCCTGAAGGCCCTTGCATAGATCATCCAAGGGGCTGTACATACTCAGGATGGCGTTCCTGAATGACCAGTGTGCACAGGTTCAGTGGAAATGACAAGAATGATCGGGTCCAATAAGAACAGGTGGCTGAACTTTGTTGAGTTAATTATTATTTATTTATTATTATTATTGTTAACAATTATTAATTATTAATCTCTTCTCAAGTCTCCAAAACTCCAAACAGATTTTCTGCTTTACACACATTTTGCA